AACAAACAAATAAGGAAGGTGAGACAAGGTAAGCGGGAGACTTAACACATTCGAAAAAACCCGCGTGCGGGCGAGATAACTACTACCTTGAGGCATAAAGGAAGGCAGGTTAAACTAAGGATCTGCATGACTGGACCAGTCTACTGTTAGCAGGAGACTTTAATATCCCCCCCCCACAAAATAAATGCGCATCCAAAGCCCATCGGGAAGATGGAAAGGAGTGCTAAACGCTTTCCCCCGAATACTCTCCCGAAGTTTGATTAAAAGGGGAAGTAAATCGACGGCAGTGATAATGCATTCAGACAGGCAGGGGGGAGAAGTAGGAAGTTTCAATTGACGGAACCCAGAACTCCAGAGCGGAAAAGAGCTGGAATAAAAGCTCTGATCGAAACCCCGCTCAATTGCAGCAAAACGGTGGCCAGCGGCATCTAGTTATCATGTTTTAGGCGTACCTATCTTACCGCGTAAGGACACTTCTTGAGCTCCCTCATACAGCCTCCGGCACAGCAAATGACAGGCTCCCACAAACTACTATCGGTCAAGCAGCCGATAAATCAGACACAAATTGACTCTCACATGACGGTTTGTCACTCACATCCAAATCACGCTAGTGGACAGGCGTGCGTGCAGGCCAAGAGCTTGCCGCGCGTCGGAACTCTATCATTAAGTTTCTGTATAGAGTACACAACTCTTCACCCTGGCAATTACGGTGCTGTGAGCACAAACGGTTTAGATACCCACATACACACGATGTGCAGCAAAACACATGGGTTGAGAAAAACAAGCATGAAGTAAACTAGCCAATGAACGTGTAATTCATCACACAGCCAGCTTGACGCCTTCGCTCACAAGGGAGGCCCAATAAATTGTTGACAGAACATTCGAAATAATTCCACAAGAGGGTTATCGCGCAAAAGGCAATCAATGACCACTACGGTCTTAGTGCATTCGACACCGACCTACTTGGGCTAAGAAAATTAGGAGATTATTCTCAGGACCCACTTTTCGCTCTCATCCACATAACCGCCAACAATTCTGACAAATGTAGCAAGTATTCGGCTGGATGACGCATAAAGCATTGGCGTCAATGTGCACAATTTTCACGACATGTGCGGTGATTTACTGAGCCAGCTAAGCATGGTTATCACGAAGGAAGCTAATAAAACTGCCAACTAGACCAATCTGTTGTACTTTTAGGCAGGAGGGCGCTCGATGCAATTGCGTTAACACTGCATTCCCTCAAACACAATCGGGAAAAGTTACAAGCCTCTTGGAATGTCTATGGGGTGGAGGATGTCACAAAAAAGACGAAGACAAACCTTCGAGGGGACATCATTCATATTCTCTCCTCCGTGATTAACGATAATACTGATCAGACGAGCATAGGCGTCCAGCACTGTGTAGCTTCCCACTCGGGCGGCCGCAGAACCCACGGCCGCAGCAGTACTGCCACCAAACATGAC